TGGCCTCGGTGGGGTCTGGCTCCAAGGGCGCTGTCCCCAAGAGCCTCCTGCAGTGGGGCAGAGCTGGTGGGGTGGGGGCCTGGCCTCGCCTCACCTGGGCTCCTTCACAGTCAGGTCTAAACTGCGGTCCTGGGAGACCTCGTGGGGAACCGGGGCGCCAGCGCTCTCACCGGGCTCCTGCTTCACCGGGGCCGGGGGGAACCTGGCGGGGGTGGCCTGCTGCCCGTTTCCTACAGGGGAGGGGAGGGAAGATGGTGTTAGAGGGGCTGCGTGCTTCCTATGGACACAGACCGGAACCCCCCACCGCCGGAAGGGAGGGCAGTGGGCTGGGTGGGCCGGGGGCCCCAGGGGAACCCTGGCTGCTGGTCAGCGATTCTCCCCACTGACATGATCGCTTGTGACGCTTACCCCTGTGTGGCAATTCTTCAAGTGATAATTATTGCAAAATTATGTCAAAGTTGTCCCAGCTCAGGGCCTCCTGGAGGAGAAGGGCGGTAGGCTGGGGAGGGGGCTGGCACGGGGGTGGGGGCCCTTCATTTTCTCCACCGACTGTCACAGTCAATTTGTGGGGCTGCCGCTTAGGCTTTTATTAAAGACTCTGTTAATGCTGAGGGAAAGTGGCAGATCTAGACTGGGAGCTGCGCCCCTCCGCAGGTCCCCGGCCCGCTGTTGCCGGGGCGACGGCCCTGCCTTCCACTGAGCATGCCTAGGAGGGGCATCTGCTGTGTCAGGGCGATGGGAGCTGACAGCCAATCAGAGCAGTTCAAACTATGTGACCTCGCCCGTCAAGCTGTCCAGGGCAGGGATGTGAGGCCCACTGTGGCCGGGCTGGGCTGGAACAGGGTCTGGGTGGGAGCTGGCGGGGTGTAGCCATTGGGGGAAAGTCTGGAGCTCGGTAGGCAGATGATTTGGGAGGCCAAGCAGAGCAGGGGCAAAAGAAGTTGCTGACAGGAACATGTCCACCGAGCCCTTCTCCACAATCCCCAAGTGGCTGAAATATTAATCTGCCCCAAGGCGCTGCAGCTGACAGAAAGCTGCTTCACAGACAGCAAGTGGCATTTGATTAAAAAATAAAGGAAAACGCCCCCCCCCCTTCCCTTGACCTTTCTTTTGGGGGAAGGAGATTTTTCTAATGAAAAAGAAAGAATTTGACAGTCTGGCCCCTGAGCTCAGTGTGGTCCTAAAGTGGGGCCCACCCCGGCCCACAGGCGTCTGGCCAGAGGCACAAGGCCCCTGGGCATCCTGCCATCCCTCTCACACCTGGGAATGGAAGGTGGGTCACTCCACGCTTCCAGCTGATGGGAACGTCCCACTCGGGACAGGATAGTAGCTCCCCGAAGTCACTTGCCCAAGGTCCCCTGGGAAATGGCCCAGCCCCCTTGCCAAGCACTGGCAGGCCCTCTAGGAGACCTGGGCAGACCCCTGGGCTAGGCCGCAGGGACCTTCCGTCCTGCCTGGTCTTGAGACGGTCTCACCTCAGAGTAGGGCACGCGGGTTCAGGAGCCGGACCGCTGAGGTCCAAGTCTGGACTTCGCCGCCTCCTGGCTGCGTGCCCGGGATCAGGCTACCCTCACTGCCCCATCAGTACCACCAGGCAGGACTCTGCTTCCCTGCCGTGTCTCCAGCACCGGTAAGGCACGTAGCCCTCAGTAAGCACAGCGGTTGCTGAATGAGTGGCTAAAGTGACAGCTGACTGTTCTCAGCTAAGTACCGAGAAGGGGGAGAACAGGGAGAGGAGCCAGGTAAACAGAAAGCCAAAGAATTCCAGAGATCCGAGAAAACACTTAAAAAGAGTAGAAAGCTTGAGAAGGAGAACCGCTCCCCGTGGTAAGCCAGAGGGAGGCCAGAGGTGGGACTCGGGAGGTCTGGCTGGGTTGTCCAACATGGCAGCCGCTGGCCAGGTGTGACTAAGTTAAAGGGATTCCAACCAAAATCCGGTTCCTTGGTCACAGAGCCAAGTTCAGGCACTCAACAGTCACAGGTGACTAGTGGCTGCCATACCAGACAGCACAGGACAGAACAGTTCCGTTCTGGCAGAAAGTTCTGCCAGACGGCACTGACGGAGAGGGAGACACTGGAAGGTTATCCTCGGCCTCGAGGGGCCGGCCGGGTATAAATCCCAAGCATCCCTGAAGTGCGGCCACCTGCTGCTTGGCTGGACCCATGCCCCTCCAGGTGACACGGGGGGCCCTAGGGAGGCGCAGGGATCTGGGACTCCTCTCATCAGCGGCTGGACTTGCGATGAGGGAGGGTGTGGAGTGGTAAGGACCAGCTGCCCCGGGACACACAGGCTCCCAGTGAGGCCAGGCCTACGGCCCCCACTTCACAGATGAGAGAACAGAGATGCCTCGGGTGGGGTGGGCAGGCCAGAACAAGGGGGCCCCAATAGCAAACAAACAGGATGGAGGCAGAGACCAGGCAAAGATGGGGGCTAGGGGCATGGGGGACGTGGGTGCAGGAGTAGAAAGACGCCTCTCCAACACCCCCCGACTCTGCTCTGCAATCTGAGGCGGCGGGCTCCCGGGGTCCGTAAGCCACTCGTTTCCTGGGCAGTGCCCGGCCTGCTCACCTGGGTCAAAGGTGGCAGAGGGCTTGAGGGCAGCCGCGGCCAGCCTGGCCATCATGGGTGAGATGAGGCCCTTGCTCGCCGAGATCCTCTCCATGATGGAGGCGGGGGGCACCGGGACAGAGGTGGCGGCGGCCGGGGCAGAGTCACCGGCTCCCGAGGCGGCCAGGGCGGGTGTGTCGGCTGCCGCCGAGGCCACTGCCCCGGACGACATGGCACCCAGGAGGCCGGGGGCACCCACGGGCAAGGAGGCGCTGCCCCGGCTCGGAAGGATAGGGAAGTAGGGGGCGGCGGTGGGCAGGCCTGAGTTGGAGAGGGCCAGCGCCAGCGGGATGGAAGCGGGCAGGCCCTGGGACAGCAGCCCGGAGATCTTGCTGTTGGGCGGCTTGGCGGCACCGGGCGTGGCCTCGGCGGCGGCGGCGGCGGCGGCGGCCAGGGAGGCGGAGGACTGCTGGCTGGTTGGGGAGGCGCTCAGGCTGGAGTTCTTGCTGCTCAAGGCCGAGAAGTCGACCAGGTCGTCGTTGCTCGACTCCTCGTGCTCCGTGTCCTTGGCGCCCAGCAGCGAGGACGGCAGCCCCAGCGCGCCCGAGGAGCGGACGTGCCTGCGTTCGTGCTTGCGCTTGTGCGAGGTCATCTGGCTGGTGGACGTGAAGGTGAAGCCGCAGCCGGCGCGGATGCAGTGGAAGTGGTTGGTGGCCTTGCTGTACACGCAGCCCTCGTACCTGCACTCCTCGTACTTGTAGAACTTCTTGAAGCCGTCCTTGGCATACGCGTCATCCTTGATGTGATAGCTCTTGTGCTTCTCGATGTCACACTTGTTCTTGAAGGTGAACGTGCAGCCGGGGCGCCTGGACGGGACACGGCAGGGGCTGTCGCAGGGCCTCGGGGAGGAGGGGGCGCCCGGAGGTGGTCCTGCCCGGCTTCCGCCTCGGCCCCGGGGGGAGACCCGGAGAACCCCCGGGCGGCCCCCCTACCCTTGTGCCTGTGGCCTCCGGGAGGCGGGACCCCGAGCCCCGCACGGGCCCACTTCCCCACCTCCCCTCCCTCCCCCAGGCCAAGCAGCCTCCCTGGTGGGCTCCCCGTTCACCTGCAGTGGAAATGCGTGGTCTTCTGCCCGTAGAACTGGCAGTCGGCCGTGCCGCAGTCCTCGGTGGCTCGGAAGCGCTGGAAGCCATCGTTGATGAGCTGGGTGTTCTTCTTGTGGAAGTTCTCGTGGGTCATCACATCTGACGTGCTCGTATACACCTTGTTACAGCCCACCTGCAGGGGCAGAATGGCCGTCAGGGGGACCGAGGCCAGGCACCCCCGGGCCAAGGTCAGAGCCGCGGTTCTGCTGGCCACAGACCCCCCTGCTCAGGGGAGCTTCGGCCCCTGTAAACATCCAGCTGGGCTGTGGAGAGCCTGTGAAGATCCCCCCGGGCCCTGCAGGCCTGGGCTGTGCTGAGGGCTGGGTTGTCTGCACGGACTCCGGGCACCTCCCGGCACAGCCAGGTGTGGGAGTCCCGTTCCGCCGAGGGGCGTTTGGGGTCCTAATCCGTGGCTCTGTCTCGAAAGCCCCTGGCAGTGGGCAGGGCTGGGCCTGGGGGCCCGGCAGTCACCTTCGGCCCCGGGACTCGTTCAGTGGACACTTCCTGGCACAGGGCCCTCCCCACCCCACCCTAGCTGGGCCAAGGCAGGCAGCGTTGCCATATTGAGTAAAAACCCGTGGAATCTGAGCACTCTTGAAGGCTGGGCCGTGCCAGTGTCTGCACCATCTCAGGGCCCGGAGAGAGAGCCCCCCTCTCCTCCTGGCCCAGGTTGTTCCACGGAGCCCATAACAACCCCCTGACAAATGCCGGGGGAGGCGCAGCGGCTGCTATTTGCAACCCCGAGTCGCTCCCCCTGGACCTGACACCTTGAAAAAGCCCAGACTCGGCGTGGCATTAAAACAGAGAATTAAACAAAAACCTCCTCAGGAACCATTTGCAACGCTCCCCTTGGTGTTAAAGCCTGAGAAATGCTGGTCTGTATAAACAGCTCCCTGAATTTCACCCGCACCAAGTATGGCCATGGGGACGGCCCCGCCCTGGCCCTGCCAGACACCGACCGGGCCCGCGCCCCCAGGACTCCCTGCGCTCGCCTGCTGCCCCCCGCAGCCCCCCCGCCGCCCC